ACTAGATGCAGACACAATGTGCTTACCATCAGGAGAGAAGACAGCAGATTTGACCCATCCTGAATGTCCTTTGAGCACTGCCTCACACTCTCCTGTGGCTGTATTCCAGATCTGTGCAGTGTAATCATCAGATGCAGACACAATATGCACACCATCAGGAGAGAAGGCAGCATAGTTGACCCTCCATGAATGTCCTTTGAGCACTGCCTCACACACTCCTGTGGTTGTATTCCAGATCTGTGCAGTGTGATCATATGATGCAGACACAATATGCTTACCATCAGGTGAGAAGGCAGCAGAGGTGACCTGATTTGAATGTCCTTTAAACTCTGCCTCACACTCTCCTGTGGCTGTATTCCACATCCATATGGTACAATCAAATGATACAGACACAATATGCTTACTATCAGGGGAGAAGACAGCAGACTTGACACCATGTGAATGTCCTTGGAGCACAGTCTCACACTCTCCTGTGGCTGTATTCCAGATCTGTGCAGTGAAATCATCAGATGCAGACACAATATGCATCCCATCAGAGGAGAAAACAGCAGAGTTGACTGTGTCTGAATGTCTCAGAACTGCTTCAGACTGGCTCCATGCTGTTCTCCTTCCCCAACAGAGCTTCCATGGAGAGTGCAGCCTACTTCCATATGTTTTCCAGATATCAGATTTTTCAGGCAGCCAAACTAGGGCTGAAGGACATCCTTCAAGACTGCTATTTTTGATGAAATCAAAATTCTCTTTCAAAAATAGTCTAGCATCAATCACTGTTGTTTCCATGACCTTTTGGGTCTACTCTCTGTTGTAAGTGCAATTCATCTGCAGCAACAATACTGCTTACCTTTACCCAGTTTTCTAGTTTTTGCAGTGAATGCATTGCAGTCCTCAACCTTCCTAAAATACTCAAACAATCCATCCATTGCAGAAGATGTCTTTGAAAGAAATGCTTCAATTCAACACATTCATTGTTGTCGTCTGCATATGTGAAATGAATGGCCCAGGTACCACAAGCATATGCAAGAGCTTCAGAAATTTCTCCACACTTCCTCTCTGCCAAGTAAGATACCCTTTCTTTCTGTGACCATTCTTTCTCCATCAAGGACAGACACTGAAGTGCCAGATGTTTATGTGAAACACAAGGATCAAGATAGTGCTTTGTGGAAAGAATTTGATTACTGATGAAATCATAGAAGGAAGCATGGAGTACTGAGATCTGCTTAGCAGAGTGTTGAGATGATGGAATATGTATCAAAGAATGAAGGGAAGAAAGGGCTGCCTCAACTTGTTTAATAGGTATTTGCATCAAACAACTGATGGCAGTCATAGAAAGTGGATTATAGACATATACAACAGCTGTCAGAACCATGTCTATATCTGATGCTTCCCCAACATTTGCAGAGTCATAAGCAGCATCCAAAATTCTTTCATAAAGAACATGTAGTGGTTGGGTTATACCAGATGTTGTTTTCAATGCAAAATTGACCACATCTGAAAGACGCTTAGGCATGCTAGAGCCACCCCTCTGACAAATATATTTGCAGACAGTTGCTGCATAAATGAACAGAGTGCCAGACATTCTGACAAGGCTTTCAACTTCAGCCTGGGGTGGCCAATTATGCATATTGTACTTAATTTGCCCACCAAGCAAGTGAGCTTTAGTGTAAAGCTCAATATCAGCTTGTACAATCTCCTTTTCAACCTCATGAAGGATCAAATTGGAATGATTTGAAGAACCATTAAAAGTCTCCATCATCACTATTTCTGGGCGACTAGTGATGAAGAACTTGACTGGAAGAGATTCACTGTGCTTCAAGATCACAGAAAGTAACTCAGCCACAAGGGACTGGTCAGAGCACTCATCCAGAGCATCAAGAACAACAACTGGGACAATTACTCCTTCTCTAGTATCCCTGTATGCAGCAGTGAGTGGTCTAACAATGAAGTTCAGGAATTGTTTGCCAATCTTCCAAGATGAGCAGTCAGGATCAGCTTCTACCACATCCAAGATAAGTTGGGACAGGGAGGGATGATACTTGGCCAACTGAAACGAGATGGTGGGGATAATACAACGGACATCACTGGTATCAACCCGGAGATGCGAAGAAAAAAAGGTACCACCAAGGGATTCCTTTTCATCAAGGATTTGACTGAATGAGTAAGCAATTGTTGTTTTACCGGTTCCAGCCATCCCGTTGAGCCAGTATACCTTTGTGGCCGTATTATCACTTGCCCATACTCGCAGTGTATCAAGGATTGCCTTGCGAGTGTTCTCCGTACATGCATTGCGTGGAGCAGGAGATGCCGCGTCATACTCTGCAGACTCAGCACGAGGTAAGAGATTATCACGTAGTACGGCCTATGAACTAGGTTTTAGCAATGATGGGTCCCAGTGCGAAGATTATACACGCTCACTAAGATTTGAGGCCTTGTCCGGTCCTGAAAGGAAGATACAACTGTTAATACGCAAATTGTCATTTACGCTGCTAGAATGATACTTACATTACTGACTATGGTAATATGCGGCCGATCCACATATATACTGTCACCTTGAAAGAGAGGAAGTGAACCATGGGTGTTTGGAGACATGTGCTAGAATGGGCAGTATTTAGTTTAGTGGTGACGACGTTGATCGCAAGATGAATACTGACCGTGGGTAGAGTCTCTGGTCCTGATCTACTAACGGAACCAAGTTGCCTGCGCACAGCAGGTATCGATGCTGAAAAGGGTACGGAACTTGGAGGAGACACTGTGGATGCTTCTGTACTCGCAACCACTATGGCAGGTGCGTGATCGACGCCGACCGCAGGGATTATATTGGGTGGTAAATCACTTGAAAGTATGAGGATGTCAAGTAATAATCAAGGAATGTCGAACGACTTGACTTATTTACTCACCTTATTCCTGCTGCCAGTGCATCTGTCGTTGCCAATGCCATATGGACGTCAGGTATTGAATCCATATCGATCGGCGATGGTGTAGGCGGACGCGACAGATTAGAAAAAGAAGTTAGGTTTCCCTTGACAGATCGAGTAACTTTGTCTATGCGATGTCTCTTAGACGGTCTTTCGTCCGACATGATGATAGTCAAGAGTGAGCTAGCCTCGTTCAATGTGCACTCCGTGGCTGTACGAGTTTGATTTTCCCACGATGTAGTTCTAAGTTCTAACGCATTTGACTCTTGAGCAACTTGATCGTTGAACATGGTATGACAATGACCTCTGAATAATATTCATACAGCAAGGATCGAAATACAATTGTGATGATACAGTGATTGTCAATTGATGTAAATAAAAGCCGACAATCATTCAAACTCAACCAGACAACGACACTTAATCCATAGACAATACAACACGACCTGCAATCTTGCCTTGAGCAAGTTCTTCATAAACACTTCGTGAAAAATTAAGAATCATTCAACAAATAGTCAAACAGGATAAATGATGCAACACGACATACTTCGCAATATCAGCCAACTTCCTCATCTTGTAATGGCACTTGACAGCACCAGAAGCAGCGATTTCGACAGCCTCTATGGCATCCTGACGGTTACCTACATAGGACCCGTGGATTGTTATGCTCTTAAACACCGTGAAGAAAATAGAAGCGTCTAGTGTAGACTTGGCGGGAAGGCCAACAGCCATCAGCCGTCCATTTTCACGCAAGTAATCGATAGCTTGAGAGTACCCAGAACTCTGAAGCAATGACTTAGCTCACAACGGAATGTCAAAAATAAATTCACTCACCGAAGCGGTGGTAACGATTGCGGCATGTGCACCACGACCATCGGTAGCTTTCTTGATATCCGCGACGATATCCTTGGACTCGGCGAAATCGATCCAATGGTCAGCGCCGAGAGACTCGCAGAGCTTCCGTTTTTCTTCGCCAGTATCGATGGCGATAACGCGACGACCCATGTACTTCGCATATTGTATGGCTGAACACAACAATAATTAAAATTAGAATAGCTATATGGAGTCGAGGTCTGGACCAGACATACAAAGATGGCCTAGGCCTCCACCAGCGCCAGGCAGTACGACCCAGTCACCTGGGCTAGTCTCGCTATACTTGAGAGCACGGTAAACGGTAAGGCCCTGATAAAAAAATAGAGTCAGAAGATTGAATTTTAAGATAAAATAGTTCTTACGGCACAGAGAATCGAGGCAGCAGCAGCACTTTCAAGACTGTCCGGGATGGCAGTGACAGAGTGGACATAAGATACCTAAAACGGCATGTAAGTAGTGAAAAAAAGATGCCCATAATTACAAACACGCACGAGATATTGTTGGAATGTTCCATCAACAGTGTAGCCGCTGAGCTTGACGTTCTCGCAATCTAACATAAATAAGTAATTGAAGGGTTACATTCAGACGAGATACCCACTTTGCTCGTAGCCTTTCTTGCATTGCTCACAGTCAAAGCACGAATCAGCGACCCACTTGATTCCGACACGCTGACCGATCTTAACAGGGCTGTTGGCAGTGTTTTTACCTATGGCTACAATCTCTCCGACACCTTCATGACCACCAATAAGAGGTGACATAGGTTTGATGGGCCAGTCGCCAAGGGAAGCGTGAAGATCGGTGTGGCAGACACCAGAGCAGTGCATTTTCACAAGACATTCTCCTGGTGCAAGGTCATCAGGAGACTTGACGGGGTGGTCTTGAACGTGGACCTTAGCTCCCTCTTTGGTGAGAATAGCGACCTTTTGAGATTTGGGAATCTGTAGTGACATTGGAGGTGATATGAATTGGTTGATAACCTTTGACTTACTTGGAGTCTTATAAGGAAAAGGAGATTGTATATGACTATGATGATGCCATGGCCGAGACAAACCTAGGTCGGAGCGAGCCAAAGAATCCAGTGCCTGTCCACGTCCAATGATTGTGCGGACACCAAGTCTAACTTTAGGTCGGAGCCCAGACAGCGCCCAGCCTCGCTGAGCCAGAACGCGATTGGTGCCTGTGTGTGCTCGAGATATTTGCTTAGCCATACCGCAACATGGTGAGATGGCCGAGCGGTCTAAGGCGCCAGACTAAGGATCAGGACATTAGATGTCCACCAGTCGGGGTTCGTACCCTGATATCTGGTCCTCCGGGGCGTGGGTTCGAATCCCACTCTCATCACTATGGCTTTCGAGCCTTTGTTTTTGTGTCTTTTTTTTTGTTTCCCCCAGACCCCCAATTCATGCATTGTCATATTATTCATCAACATTCCAAAATCAATACTGTGCAAGGGTCTGCTGTTTAGCGGATTTCTCCAATTTTGCCACGAGCACCCCCGGGCCCCAATTGTCACAGTATCTTACTCTTGGACAAAAAATGACGCAATTCCTCAGCTTTCCGATATCCTATAGAACATAACTCGGGTAGGTACATCCCTTGTCGGCATGGTCATTCTTCAATGAACACTATGTCACAGACTCATGACAGTGCCTAATGCTTGCTAAGAATATCAATGACCCTACGACGGAGATATGCTCATACCGGATACATCAACCTGAAGATCGTCTTGTGTGGATAGCCAATGTACCCTCAAAGTCACGATTACTGGCAGCTATGCTTAGAGTCATCTCACGTTTAGCCTCTCATGCCTCAAGGAACGTTCATTCAAAAGCCCTCTCGGATCCTTAACTTCCTTCAAATGCAACCGATAGGGGTACTTGTTTGGATTTCGTTTCATTCTAAACGAGACAAGTAAATCCCCCCTTTCTCCAGAGCGAGACATGAAGCTTCAAGGTACCCCGCCGACCACAGGTAATTTGGCTGCATCTCTGTCATCGACTACGACCATCATGATCAAATCTATCACAATGCTTCGCAGTTTCTTCACCGAAGCATTGTTGAAAACACATCAGTCGCCGCAGGACAAGGGTCTTCGAGTTTGAACGCCATTATGTTCCTCCGACATTCACTCCTGCTGTGCTAGAACTCTCTCCGTGGCAGGACTTAGAGGTCTTCGAAACTTAAGACAATCCTGAATACTGTGAGCTCTCTTCGTGGGAAGACTTACAGAAGCCGTCTGCGTTCTCCCTCATACTGAGTGACGCCGGGTTCTATGGCCATAAATGGATATCTAAATCCACCAGCGCTTTCATTACTACTACCTTTGGTTGTGCAGAGGAAAGTCTCCTACCTCATATCTTGGCCCAACCATCACTTCCATGTTTCATCGCTTTAAAATTCATGCTATTTACTCTGTCATCTCTTGTCTTCCTCCGACGATATCAATCCCAGCTACCACCTGGGATTGATAGTTCAAAGACAGCAGGTCATCTATTGTTTATCGCTTCATATATCTATGCCGTCCGGGAACATTGGCCAAGGAAAGAAAAGATCTTCGATAACGAATATTGGAGTCAAATCCAATTTCAAAGCGAACGAGATTAGGCTGATGGTGGACGGGTTCCACAACAAAGAAGTGGGTGTTTTCTCCAGATTCAGAACGATAATAGATGTACATATTGCCATCCTGGAGTATCTTGGTGCCGATAAAAACCTTCCCAGTCGGATATGACTTTGAGCAAAGTCTCCTCAATTTTGACTCGGAGTGGTTCTATGTCCTCTGTGAAGGACGAGTGCTGTTAAGCTTGTCCCCTTGGACGTTATCGTTTGTCATCATCACCTTCATACGCAATATTTTTTCATCGTATTGACTCGATCATAAAGAAACTACATGATGGCGCAAGCCCGAGGCTTCAGTACAATTATTTTTCGCAACCTGCTCACCAGGATACCCAGAGAACATTATAAATGATATAAAGGAATCGACTAGAATCGACGGGCGTTAGCACAGTTCGCATATAGTCACTTCAACCAACACATACCAGGGAGATCGCGAGCTGTCACCTTCAGATCTTCTAAGTTTGGGGATACTTGCTTCATATTGGCTTTCACATGAAGCTATTTTGAAAACGACATCAACGAGCCAATCGTCGGGTTGCAGTGTCAATTGTCAAGGTTGTCGTGATTGACTACGCTGATTGATTAGCTCGTATCCTCGCCATGGCCCCGTCTACTGACCCTGTCATTTCCTTCTCCGTCACCACGTTTACATTTACGTGCCTTGCTCGTATCCTGTCCCGCTCGGAGTTGCTCCTGGTATTAGGTCTTTCGTCGTCCTTTTTGATTTCGAGAAATTTGAACGCCTTTGCGGAGAGCTGTGAAGCCTCGATGATCCAGAATGGAGCCCATGCAGATTACGAGTAAAGTACTTCGTTAGATAAGTTGTTATTGTGATCGAGGATGACATTGTGATACCGTCTCGCAGAATTTGAGCTATCTTTAATGAAATGAATGAGTTTTGCCGCTTTTTGGAGTAGTAACGCATTGGGTTTGATTGAATGCCCCCCTATGCGAAGATCGTACCGAAGAAAAAATAAGTTTTGTGGAGTGGTCTACGTTTACCAAGGTAGTAACCCATCCGATTGTCCTCTAGTTGTTGTAGGTTTACAAATTTAGCACAGTGAGATGTACTGGAAACATAGATACTATACCCACCCAGCTTTCCTCATAACATGGGCAGATGTGAGGTACCCGGTTTGTTTTGATACGAGACAAGCATCATCTCGCTCCTGAAATTTCAGACTTGATTCGATGGCCAATCGACTCGGCGATAGTTACGCGAGATAATTGGCGACCAGGGAAGCAGTTTTAGGTGTAGGGAGCTCCAATGTGGTAGAGGATAAGATGGTAATAACACGAACCGGGAAGGAGATATGGGTCCCGGGAGAAAGCATGCAATGAGCACCATTTCGTGATGGAGACAAAATTGCAGTGCGAGGTCAGGCAAGTGGTCGTATGCCGGAAGGACTACGAACAGCATCAAGATGAGGGAGATGGGGGTGAATTGGAGAATTCTACTATCGGACTTGGGGACATTGAAATCACCTGCCCTTGTCCCTTGGAAAACAAGACCGAGTACAGAGTTGAAGGAGAACGGAGAAAGTTTGTTGGTGTGAAAACTCTATTTTTGGTTTTTCCTTTTGGCGACCCAAGACTTTGTTTCTTTTTTTGTGTTTCACAACTCCGGATCCAGAATTCAATGCGGACATACATAGGACCCCGGACAATAGCGTGAGACCTCTGATCCGTTTCCGGACAAAAAAAATGGATTTGGACAAATCAGCCTGAGCAGAATCCGGACAAAATGGGGTACTAAGGAGGAAATGGTCAGATCAACTATCCGGACAAGAATTTTTGAAGAAGGAAAGCCCAAATCCAATATCCGGACACGAAAGTGTGTCTCAGGTGTTATCTATTGCCTGTGGCAGACCAGCGTGTATATAGTAGAGTTTGAGCACAATATTAGTACATGGGGCTACCTTTTTGCCATCCAGAGCCTTTTGTAGAAAGTTTCGAAATGGTAACGTTTAGGGCTATACCCATGTTTCAGCTGCCTAGCTTCGGGTGCTCTATTCACAGTATATAGTTATTATAATAGAGATTGGAACTTTTTCACCGTTTTACTTGCTCTAGCAGCACCCCAGAGCATTCCGAGGGCAGCAGATGCCAGATCCACTCATCCAGACAGATTTTAGCCTCAAAACAACCCAAATCCCAGATCCGGACAAATTTTAGAAACTTGGTGGAGGCCAGGGAGGATCCGGACACAAACTACGAAAACATGTCCGGACAAGAAACCCGATTTCGAGATCAGGCCTCTCCGCCTATTATCCGGGGTCCTACATACATACTGCCTTATTTCTGCTATTACCATCGAGACTAGCCTGTGATGCGCCTCGTAGCGATGAAGGTCCTCCCGCGGAGTCCCGCCGTAAGGGAAAGGACCTCCGAGTCAAGGTTCCTGGCAGTACAGTCGCATCTTTTAACCTTCTCAAGTACACCTGGACCTTAGCACTGGCGGTCATCCATTTCGTCCCAGGCCAGACCTACCTTCACCCGCCGCTAGAGTTAAGTTGTATCATGCCAATGACCTGGGGCCGGACGCGATGGGGTCAGCTGTGACCTGGCAATAAGCCGTCTTGATGATGGAGGGAACAGAGGTGATCTCGCAGTTGCTAGTGCCGTCATTGAGAACGTTGGGACCGTTGACAACGTCTTGGACTGGTCATCGTCGAGTCGTCGTCCAGCCCTTAGATGGCCCCTCCACGCATAGGAGTCGATCCAACTTTTTGTACCGATCCAGCGCCTCTTCTGTTGTTGATGAACATTTGGCACAGGCAAGGATTGTGTCCTTCTCTGCTACTGCCAAAATGAGGTCGCTTTGGCTCTTCTATCACCGCCATCTTCATCTGGACGACTGATATCCTGGGCTTCTTCTTCTTGATTGTCTTCGTCTTCACCTCCACCACTATCACCATCTTCGTCCTCATCTTCGTCATTATCATCAGATATATGCGCCATCTTTTCCTCCCAGAGAATGCGCATGTCCGTCTTTCATCATCACATTAACCAATGCACTCCTACTCACGCTCGGAGTATACCTGCTAACACTCACCCCGGCAGGAAAATACAATGGATCGAAGTAACCTTTGGGTTCCATCCCAGAAGGTCTTTTCGTCTAGGACCCTGACATGGCGTAAAAATAAGCTCCATGCATTTGATTTTGGTGATACCATTGTTCCTGTTCCTGTCGTTGTATCTGTGCTGCAACGTCAGCTGGACCTTCTCCAACTTCACTCGTAATCCCACCATCATCATATTTTTACATCCTCACAGCTTCATCAACATTCCAAAATCAATGGTCAAGAGAGTATATGCAAGGTGTCCGTCTGCTGTTTAGTGGATTTCTCCGATTTTTCCACGAGTGCCTAATCGTCAGAGTATCTTGGCTTTCGCTTCACTCTTCAAAAAATGGCGCAATTCCTTAGCTTTCTATGATATATCCTCGTCGTATGATCATGGATGCGCTGGCTGGCGTCAGGCATGAGTTTGTCACACATTGCTGATTGAAGAATGGCTATGCCGACAAGCCCCGTACACCTGGGTTATATTCTATAGGATGCTCATACCGGATACATCGACCTGATAATCACCTTGTGTGGATAGCTACTGTAGCCTCAAAGTTCAAGCAAAGTCACAGTCACTGGCAGCTACTTGATGCTTAGGGTCATCCCAAATATAGCCTCTCATGCCTCAAAGAACGTTCATTCAAAGCCCTCTCG